AAACTGAACTATGTGCATCATTTCCTATTGTTTTCTCCTTTACACCTGATATCCCTAAAATAGCTTGATTATGGAATGGCTAGCTTAACTATAAAACATTTTATTACTGTTTATCTTGATTAAAAAAATAGAGATAGTAGAATAAATGTAACCTTCTGTGGCTATAACTGACCCTAAAATAAAGATTATTTCACTTCTGAAAAAAAAAAAAAAAGTAAGGATGGCCAAGGGAGAAGAGCACAAGTGGGGTGCCGGACCCTATACAGAGAAGCAGCAACACCAAAGATGGAGGCAGAGATGAGGACATGGAGAGAGGGAGCAGCTGGGAACTGAGGACGCCGCACTCATGGAAAGAGAAGGACTGGGTACTGGCGGACAGGAGGCAGGCTTACAGAATGTGCTCTTTGGTTGTTTAGATTATTATATATTCCTGAGTGTTTCTGTGTACACCACCAACCCCGCCCCCCTCCCAAAAGGGAATGGAAGCAAATACTGTTGAATGATGATGTGCAGAGGAGATTGTATTCATTGCTATGAAAGGATGGTGTAAGCTACCACATAACATGGTAACCATGTAAACTATCTCTCAATTCACAATAAAAACTTTAAACAAAAAAAAAAAAGTTTGTGGAAAATGGAATTTTTCTATGAACTTTTTGAAGCCCCCCTCATATATTCATTTTATCTGATTCCATGATTTAAGCTATTTTCATGTTCTAACAGTTACACCCACTCACATATTAGACCTTTAGTTGAAAATCAGCATAATTTAAATTGGAGGATTTGTTTTGTTTTGTTTTGTTTTCAGAGTATCCATTTGTCTGATGTTTAGAAGAAATAAGATGTTTAGGAAATGTTGTTGTTAAGTGCCTTTGAGTCAGTTGTGACTCATAGAGACCCTGTATAGGGTTTCCGAGGAGCAGCTGGTGAGCTTGAAACAGATACCTTGCAGATCAAACTCACTTTGCAGTCTAGCACATTAACATACCATATAAATAATAACAGCTCAGATGCACTGACAGGCTCATCTCTTTGGCCAACCCAGTTATGGATTATTCCTCTGTAGAGAAAGAATCTTAACAGAGTCAGCTGGACAAAGCTGAGCTGTGAGGTGGAGGGCCCACAGTTTAACCACTTATTTTTGTGCTGGGTCATAGCTTCCCCGCTGAGCAGCCCCCAGAACTCCATGCCCCCTCTGGAGCCACTCTGCCCAAATCTGGTAATCCCGGAGCCCTTGAAGGGTGCCAGGAACCTGGCCCACACCATCCTCCACCAAGGGAGAGTCTTCATTCAGGTCAGTTCGGCTCACATTGGGATGTCCTTAAACTCCACGAGCTTCTTCCAAAAATATCTTTTGTTCCTCCTTTCCCACCTCAAAGTAATATTGAGCAACTGGCCATAAAGTCATATGTTACATTAAATGCCAAGTACGTTAAGACTCATAAGGAGCTCTGGTAGCGTAGTGGTTACGAATCGGGCTGCGAACCTTAAGGTCAGCGGTTCGAAACTACCAGCCGCTCCGCGGGAG